TAAACTATTTCCATAGTTAGATGACTCAGATGTATATGTTAAGCTAGGTGAACTGCACTTATATGGCTGAATTAAGTGATGAGTAGGGTAACCAGAGCGGTTTAAATACCGATCAGCCATTTAATTCATTGAAAGTTAGTCTTAGGTATAGTGTACTGACATAACGAAACTGATATACCATAAAATGGATTACAAGTCTGAAATATTTCAAGTTATGTGCTCCACGTTGACATCTCCCAACTGCTTAGTTGTAAATTCAGGTCAGTTTCTGGTTAGAACCATTTAGTCGGATTAGCTTAGTATGATCACTGAAAGAGGGCTGAAATATGTTAGTTTCCGATCGAAATTCTGTTGATAGTACAGCTGGACAGTCAGCAGAATATTCAGTCATTAAAAACATCATTATGCATCGTTAAATGTTTTTAATAATTCGTCACCTATTCATCAATTTAAGTAAGATTTGATTGAGCTGAGAGGAGTTGTCATCATGGATCGAAATTAATCAGACAACCATTGAAAATCTGAGGGCAGTGAACAAATATGTAGCTCTAGCTTAGAGCTCCCTAGCACTGCACATCCATAACCCTATGTAGGATAGAAAGCAGAACTGTGAGGTTTCGAAGACAACATATTACCAATCGATTACTAACTCATAACCACGGCCATCCCTTTTAGGGTCAGTTTGGTCAAGTGTGAGGACAACTACTTACCGATGATATTGGATGATGGTTCCGCTATGGCCTAACTCCACAGAAGATGGAAAACGTGTTTTATGTTATATGTTAACCCCAATGAAAATGCATAATAAATATCCCTCCAGAGAAATTGATGGCTTTCTGTTCGATTCCATATAGGATTGTGAATGCACACACGAAGTCTTCAACTAGAAATAAACAGCTGTCCTTTGTTCTTACCTTCTCCAACTGAGCTCAAACCATGATTAAAATGCTTTTGAAATCAATTAACTGCTAAAACGCCTGCTAAATCCATTCATTCGTTGCTTTGTTGGCACTAGAATCTTCATTCTTCTCACCATGCTAGTCGACTGACCTTGCATTTTCATAGGAATAGTCTGTTCTCTGAAACTTCAGTCATTAGTTTCGCAAAGCTATATCATACCAGCAGGAAAAGTTGATTCTAGAGGAAACAGTGACACTGAGATTGCGAATTAGGATAACTTATGTTCCCAGACTAAAAACTTTACTACATATGTTCATGGTTTTTTGAAAAACTGGTCATTTATCTGATGGTTGTTTTAATCTGTTTTTTTACTCTGCTCCGAAATGTTTATGCTAATTAATCTGAAACTTGGTGTGTCACAAAAAGCATTTCCAACAAACTGTAGAGACTCATCAACAGCTGCCGCCTACACCCACTAGATGCTGACACTGAAGATCAGATGGTCAGAAAGAATAAACAACAAGGAACTCAGTCAACGAACCAACCAAGAACCTATCACCCAACAAATATCCAGAAGAAAGTGGAGATGGATTGGATTGGGCATACACTGAGAAGACCGATTGGGGACATCACGCAGCAGGCCAGGCCGTCGATTGGAAACCAAAGGGGAAACGACGAGTTGGGCATCCCAGCTGAGGGTGACATGGAGGGGATCATGTGAGGAAGAAATGAAAGCTTGTGGGCAGTCGAAGTGCCAGATTCAAGAGACTGCGGAGAACAGAGTGCAATGGAGGCCTGCACTATGTTTCACTAAGAACCCAAGGGAAGAATAATAATAAATATAATAATCTGAACAGGTTAATAAATCAATAAATGAAGGACAGGATTAGCTTTTTTAAGGAAATAAAGTAAAATGCCACAGAATACGCCCTTTCTACATTAATTTCAAGAATAATTATGCAGGAAAGAGAAAAAAATTATTAAGGATAAATTTTTTCGGTTAGATTAAGGCAAAATGCATTAATTCGCTTTTAGGAATAAAAGTTTACAGAGGGATTTCACATGATTTGATCGTTTTTACACAATGGATACAATTGGATACGAAAAATTTTTGAAATGAGGCACTTTATACTAATGACTTTTAATAGTAAACCGTATATTAATTATGCATTAGTTGAGTGGTCGGTAAGTTACTGTAAGCATTTAGGAGGTGATTTATCTCTTAAGGGGTGTTAATTACTTGTATATTATAACTTATTATTCTCGGATGTTGGTTTATTCGCTTCGAATTGATTAGCCAGTGTTTCAATTCGAGCGTTTGTATGGATAACTCGATATAAGCGATGAAAAAAGAAAAACTCACTAGAAGTTAGGTACATCCAATTACCACGTGTTAACTAGGACGAAACAATCATCCTGTACTTCACTGTTAACCCCCAGTTGTCCTTAATATCAAGTTTAAGTTTATATTCCTTCTTTCCATATTGATAAGGCAGTGTAATAATACTAGTAGGCTCGCTAAAGTGACGTGATCAATTTCTGAATGTAACTTTAATTAAGGTGGTCAGTCAAAAAACCTTTTACTCATGCTTACGGCACTAAAAATTACTAACACTGTTATTTACATAATCTAGGGGAAACTTTGCTGCTTCTGACGTTTCAGTGTGTATCAGACAGCCTATTGTTAGGAGACTTTATCCCTGGATTATTTCAACTAACATTGTCTTTGTATCTCCTTAACCTATTATCCAAGTTCATCATTCGACAGTAACTGTATAATATCCTTTTCTGTGTTCACTTTTGGACACACACTGTCTGATAAAATCGTCTTGACGATTAGGATATCTTCTGATTAAGTACAGATAGCACCAATACCACTGCTACCGTCACCGCGAACACCTAAGGTTCACATCCGTACATCTGTTCTGTGACCATTAAAACATGCAGAATAGTACCATTTCCTCTGAAAGTCAGGTATTCTAATGGATCAACCTTTGGGTTAATAGTATTTATTTTAAAAGAATTGTCTTCTAGCTACACAGATAAAATGTGTTTATTAGGTTGAAGTTGAACGAAGGTAAAAAGCTGTCAAATTGGGTTAGATGCTCGTTATTAAAAATCACTCTTTAGAACGAATTTCGTCAACCTATCTGCTTAGTCATTTCTACTACCTGTTTTGGTGATTTGAAATGGAACCAATTAGAAATATAACACTGAACCTTACTGTTACAGCTCCATAGTTAATGCGTTGGGCTTGAAATCTAAGGTATCCATTGATTAATTCTCAACGAGAAAATATCATTTCACCGGTTAGATAGCATTGTATGTGAGTGAAAAGTAGGTGATGAAACATTAATAATTTACTGTGAAGCCTGTTCTGTTTTATTTGTCGAGATAAGTAATAACATCAAATCATTTAGTCTTCGTGACTAGACATCACTAAATGTCTGGCAATCGACTATGTTAAATTCTGCTCGTGTTGAATACAGTTAACATGATCATAGGGCTAAACAAGTATTTTGGAGAATACTTTTCTAGACAGAAGTAGGTCATTCTGTTGATTCTACGCAAATATACAGTTTTCCAACTACAGACAACGCAATGTGAAATACATTAGGCAAAGTTTAAGACAATATTTACTTTTCAGTACCACAAGAAATATCCATTAGAATAAATAATGTGGAATAAAAACCATTTAAAAAGTGGTTGAAGCCGTTAAGCTATCAGTTATATAATGAGTTTCATTTGATGTCATCAACCTCCACTTTTTTGTGTTTTGTAAGAGAACAAAAGTTGTTTTACTTCCAACTATTCTTAGTCAGTGTAATGACGTTTATTGAATCCCCCATCTTTCAATCTTACCTTAAATCAATCATGACTTTTGTGATTAGTCAGTGTCATTTGATACACCTTGAACAAAATCTTGAGAGAATAAAGAATATAAACCTTCATCTGTCCCCGATTAACTGAATAAGTGCATTAACCGTCTATGGGCTGCTTATTCTCTTAGCTATAGCTAAAGAAGTTACTGAATACAATTATTCAATTAGATGATGATTGGAGCTGAAATAAAAATATCGTTTGTAGCCGAATCTAAACCGTCGAGGTCCAGTTCATTGAGCCGACACTATCGACTGTGGATGAGATCTACCTACTGACCAGACCTTAATTTCTCTCCAATCATCATCTCACTATGTGCGGACTAGTTTACTGGAAATGTCTACCTCTAGTGGCGTTACCAATAAATACTTTATCTAAAGAGGTTTACATCACGAATCGACATCAGTCCGAAAACTACTGAGGACCTAGTAGCACTGCACAGTTGTTTCGTCCTAATTTGGGACTTCTTAAGAATCTGCACCTATGAACCCCTGAGAAATCGAGCGCAGGATCATCACATCTTCTTAAAATCAATAAATTTCCCAAAAACATCTGTAATGAATAAATACCTTATTATTTCAAATGATGTTAATATTAATAGGACCGTGGATGATCTAAAAAATGAAGTCGAATCATGATATTTGGCTTTTGTGAATTATTCATTCGGAATTCATCAAAATGGTAAACCGGCTTACACTCTGTGTGTTAATTTTTTGCATATCCCTAATTAAATATTAGAAGGATAAGAGGTTGCCTAACGGCTACGTATACCAAAAAAGAAATGATTATGTAATAAGTACTGCCCATATTTTGCATAGTTAGATGTTAGCCTAAGTTTGATGTTAATGCACACATACAGACACATACAGCAACCTAATATTTTCCTTTTTTAATTTATATTAATCTTCTTTGAAGTCTAATTTTGCCGATGGTAAACTCACAAGTTTATTCAAACACACCGCCAGTAAAAGTTAAGCCAAAGTAAAGACGCTCAATTTACTGAATAGATAAATAGCTACGTCTAAATTACACGCAATCCACTACATTCATAATGGATGTTGAGAAAATATAGTTTGGAAAGATATCCAAATGACCTTGTAGATTCTTATAGTCATCATTTCAGTATCTTTAAAAAAGGATTTCTTTTCTTGTCCATTATGATAAAGATACTATCTTGATTTATGCCTGAGTTGTTCATCTTTCCTTTCCCTTTGTTTTAGAAATTTGCTAAATTTCCAATAAAAATCTCACTCAGAACTAAATATTATCAAGTGTGTAAGTGAACTAATGCTTTATTATGCTTCATTTATTTCTGCTTAATGTATAAGATACAGTTTGATGATTTATCACAAGATGATTGCTAGTAAAAAATTAACCCAATGAAAACTATATTGTTATATCCAGTTGTTCCATTCCAATCCATAGAAAATAATTTGTCACTGAGTAGTGAATATCTTCTGAACTCAATTTGCTTTGTAAAATATTGGTAGTCCCTCCTCCATATCTCAAAAATGGAATAACCTCAAAGTTTAAAAATCACAGTTAAAACTTCGGAAATTCTTTCGAGTACAATCACTCTTTAGTGAAAGATTGCCAAAAATTGTACGAGTATACGAGTCAGTTACCATATGCCAAAAGATATAGCTGTCAAATAGTTATTATTCATGAAAACACGTCTAATAATTTTGCATCATATCCATTTAGCTAAGTGACATAATGATATAGTTCAAGGAGTTTCACTGTTGGATTCTAGGATTTAACAGACAGTAAAAAAGTGATTATCCTAAAACGGGGAAATAACATTACTCTCATTCAACAGTTCTTAATCTTATATTATGGATTAACGTTCTTCAGATATAATAAAATCTGTCACAGCTTGAACATAATTATTTGCTTGATTGGTAGAGATTATATGCATATATTTCGCAGCAAATTATTCCCCAAAATCAATAAATTAGGCCTCTGAGAGATTCATCTGACCTTCTTAGTTTTAACGGACTCGATAACCTAGAGTAACACGGTCAAGCATTCAGGCTATTTGTCGCGTTGTGGTATTGCATTGCGCTGCTCACAGGCTATCTGATAGCCAGTTAGTCGGAACGCATTGATATTTTAGTATGAACTATCAAATATACTATTCCATCTGGCTAAATAAATATATATATATATATATATGCCGACCACTTCAAAAAGCTCTTGAATCGACCACCACCTGCACTTCGTCCAGAAATACCACCTGCAGCCCAGCCACAGAACTACAAGTGAACATAAATCCTTCAACAGAAGTGGAAGTCCTGAGCACCATAAAGCTACTGAAATATGGGGAAGCAGCAGGACCAGATGGAATCCCGCCAAAAGCACTGAGAACAGACGCAGAGACAACAGCGGACATGCTCACACCACTATTGCAGAAGGTCTGGAAGGAAGGGAAGGTATCTGCCAACTGATTGGAAGAAGGTCTACCTTGTCAAACTCCCGAAGAAGAGACACCTCAGTGTTTGCAAGAACTGGCGAGGAATCACTCTCCTGTCCACCCCAAGTAAAATATTAAGCCACATCATCCTGGAGAGGCTTAAGGATGCACTGGATTCAAAACTACGACCGGAACAGCCTGGCTGGCTTCAGGAAGTACAAATCATATGCCGACCAAATTGCATCATCATAGAACAGAGTATAGAATGACAGTCGACTCTCTGCCTCAACTTCATCCACTTTGAAAAGGCCTTTGACAGCGTCGACCGACAAGTAATTTGGAAACTGCTTCATTACTACGGAGTACCGCAAACATTTATCCGCCTCATTCAATAACTATATGAAGATGTCACATGCCAAGTAATTCACAATGGGAAGCTCAGTGATGCTTTTGAAGTGAAGACAGGAGTGAAACAAGGCTGTCTACTATCACATATGATATTCCTGATTGTAGTGGACTGGATCATGCAGCAGACAACAGTGGGGAGCTGTGAGAAGAGGGGGATACGCTGGCTGGACTGCGGAAAAGAACCTAGAAGATTTGGATTTCGCCAGTGATGACTTGTGCCTGATGTCACACAAACTTGATCTACAGGCAAAAACTAACAAGTTGATAGAAGAGGCAGCTAAGAACCTATCACGCAATAAATATGCAGGAGGAAGTGGAGATGGATTGGCCATGCACTGAGAAGGCCGACTGAGGACATCACGCGTCAGGCCCTCGAGTGGAATCCCCATGGGAAGCGACGAGTTGGACGTCCGAGGGTGACATGGAGGAGGTCGTGCGAGGAGGAAATGAGAGGTTGTGGGCTGTCGTGGGACCAGGTTCAAAAGATCTCAGAGAACAGAGGTCAGTGGAGGCGTGCTACTGAAGCCCTATGTTCCACTAGGAACCCAAGGGACTAATAAAAAAATAATAATGCATATATATATGGGCTGCAATTGTGGCACATTAAAATAATGAACTTTGTAATAGACTTTATATTGTTGTCTCGGTTTGTCAGATCAAATCTGTTTTATTACACTTTCACTAAACAATAAAAAGTATCATACTTTAAATGCCTAATTAAACTGATAACCGTGAACTGTAATGCTTTTTAAGTTTAGACTAATTCATGCAGGTATGAAACATCGAGGTTATTTGAATTTCCTCAGTTTCAGATACACCTTATTTATTGATGATAACAATGACATTTCTTCCTACCGATTAGCTTGAAACCAAAGCTTGAATGCAGCAAAGTATCATAGAAAATGACCTCGTAATAAACATTGAAAATATGAATCAAAATTGAGCTGTACGATGAATTCTCATCAAAACTCTTGCAATCAATAAATGAACTCTAAAGATCCTAGGGAAAGAAACGATGAATATTAGAAGGAAATATCGAACTAAAGCCAAGAAGCCAGTGGAAGTGAAAGATGTGTAAAACTTGAGCACTATGGTAGAATTTAATTCTATATTAGATTTGTTTATTTGATTTATAACATACAGTGATCTAGTATTATTTACTTGATGACGTTACAAGCATAAATTATTGCTCAAAGTGAAAGACAGCTAACTTGGGTATCGAACTACGGACTTTTTTTGCACAAACAGAAGTTAAAGAAAGGTTTTAGTAATTTATCAGTACTCATTGTACACCGCCTAGTTAAATATTTAATCTATCCCGATTAGTTTTGTCACGTACAGCGTTAGTATTGGCGGTAGTAAAGATGTCAGTGATAATAATGGTAATGGTACAATTACGTAGGCATAGACATTTCTAACAATTTCTAAAAAGAATAACTCAAAGAACATAAAATAAAATGCTTTCATTCAGTTAAAAATAAATTTTATTCCATCATAAAACCAATGTTCGTCTAGTGAACCATGAAATCGTCTTCTAGAATTCAGTCTGACTAACTACATAAAGAAACAACATTTGTGATATCTACTGAACAAACCAGTTGTTTGAGTTGCATTTCTACAAGTAACCTTCATATGTCCGATAGGGTGCATTGCTTTTAGTCTTAAAAACCAAGTAGCTAACGAATATGTTAACCTCAGTAGTTTTTTTTAGAATGAGTAAGTAAAACTAACGTTCTGACACTGCTTTGCATAATATAAACAAACCACAGATCATTCTAGTTTATTCTCATATTCTATAAGCCATCGTATCTGTCTGTTTGAAAAAACTTTTAACCGTTCATCATGTATTATGATTGATTAATAATGGCAGATTAAAAGGGAAACTAAGGGATATTGGGAATCCGTATATGTGTATATACCTTGAAAAAAATTCGATGTTCATTCACTAATAAGTAATAGGAAGACATACAACAGTAACCATCTATTTCTAGTAGTATTCACTTTCGAAAGTCAGTTTCATTTAGTGCGAAAATTATTTTGACTGTTTGATAACCAATGTCATGCTTTTTAGCCTTGAGTGCTGGTTGAAATATAGCCAGCAGAACAGTGTCCATGAATTTAACAAGTTAGATTATGCTTTGATAATTTACAGAGAAACATAGGTTAACAATTTCGTTTATCGAAACTCATTAGAAAGAAATATAGTAATGACTTTGAGTATACTGCTTTTCCTTAAAAGGCTAAATTCGAAGTCAAGAAGTATGCAGTAATTACTACTCAAACATTTGCACTAACTAATACTAAACAAAATGCTTTATTTTGCTTCGCAAGGGGACACGTTTCTCTTGATCTGTTCACCTACTTGGAGATTTCGTATATTGAAGATCGATAACGTACATTATTCCTTGAGGTGTTGCGAGATACCTCAAGACTGCCAATAATCAAAAATCTTAGTTTTTCAGTCTTCCACCGACTGATTTCAGTTGGTTGTTCTCGTGATAAAGTATCGCACTCATTAACTCTTTCATACGATTCATTTATGTTATTTTGAATATCATTTTCTCCAAAACAGATTATTACTTTTAAAACGTTTAAGAAAGCAGTAATGTATTGTCTGTATTGTATTGTCTGGCAGTTTAATTTTCAAATCCCAAAAGAAGGATGTATGTTGATAGTTCTCTAGTTGTTACTTCGTCTTTTAAGAAAAAAATAGTAGTAATAATAATAATAATCACTGTATTTAAAACAACTGCTACATACGAACATATGTTTTTAATGCAGCCATAAGTGGATGCTTAAATGTTTTAGACTATCGATGAGGCGTGACTACCCACGCAGAATAAACAGTGAGTCCGTTAAGAAAAATTAAACTGAGGTTACACGTTAACCATCAAGTAATTGTAAGAATAATAGTAATCAATTGAGACGAATGGAGAAAGTATCCATTTAAATGTGTAGTGTTTTTCAGATCATGAATGAATTAAAAAAACCCACTGATGTGCCCTTATGGAATCACGATTCCTTCATAGTGAAGTCACTGACTATTGCTGTAAGGCATTTACAGAATTTTCAATTATCGTGCAATAGGATTTCAAAATAATTAATTAGACACCAAACATAACTCAACCGAAACTCAAAACTAGGTGATAAGATACTATTACTCCAAGTATTATTAAAAAGTCAAATGATTTGACTTCTTTGAACATATTAACTGCCCATACTTACTTTTTTCCTGATCAGTCCATGTAATCGTTTTAAGAAGTGAAATTTTTGTAGCTGCGAAAGATGAATGTACCAATTTCCACGCTGTCTTAACTATCGGATTAGTGGGCACACAGTGCTGTTCTTGAGTAAAATATATTTTTTGCTGGCTGGATGCTCAATATGCTCCCTTTATGTGAACCATAGTGTTAAAGACTGAAAATATATAATCGTTAGTGATATTTTACCAATAAACCGATCTAACCAACCACAGTAAAAATTACCTGCTAGCTTTATTACTTCACACTTACCTGTTCAGGGAATTAGGTCTATTTTTCTGTGAACGATACAGTTATTTATCATGTAGCCAATACGTTACTTGAGACGTTTTTCGTATAATAGTTAGGATAATCAAGAGAAATTGTAATAACTAACAACTGAGGTACAATAGCTGAATATCAAGGCAAGCGAAATGTGATTGCCGACTACGACTCAATCTAGGAACAAAGAATTACGGTAATTTTATATATTCCATACACCTGAATTGATTACCAGTCAAATATTGATGAAAAAGAAGGGACAGAAAGACAATATGTCGTTGACTCTAATATTCTTTGTTCTATTTCAGCTAGTCCATCATTTTTATCACAAACACCAAATCAATCTTCATTATCACAATTCCAACAATCAGTACACAATGCTGAAGTCATGAAACAACCGTCAATAATAAACTCATCAACATTCCAGTCATTAACCACATATGCCGAAAAGCAACAGGATGATAAGAGAAACAACAGAAAAGTAGGCATTGATTTATCGACTCTACCAAAGGCGTAATACAATACCAACATTAGCGAAAGCAGCTGTAATAGTAATAGAAATACTTTATCAACAGTGGATAATTGCTTGAATGGTGCAACGCAGCAAAATAACAAAAGTGTAATAAATTAAAAATTATAACATTACACCTAGTGTCAATCAATCCATCAATTAGAACAAGAGAAACGATGAAGAGAAAACTCTTTTATGTATAATGCCTATAAGTGTTGGTGTAAAACTGAATATTGTGTTTTAGTCAATAATTAAAGAAAACACTTTTGAAAAACAGAAAAATGGATAGAAATGTAGTCTACTTTGAATAATGAACTGATGAAATCCCTTAAATACAATGATTATTATTATTATTACTACTATTTTTTTCTTAAAAGACGAAGTAACAACTAGAGAACTATCAACATACATCCTTCTTTTGGGATTTGAAAATTAAACTGCCAGACAATACAATACAGACAATACATTACTGCTTTCTTAAACGTTTTAAAAGTAATAATCTGTTTTGGAGAAAATGATATTCAAAATAACATAAATGAATCGTATGAAAGAGTTAATGAGTGCGATACTTTATCACGAGAACAACCAACTGAAATCAGTCGGTGGAAGACTGAAAAACTAAGATTTTTGATTATTGGCAGTCTTGAGGTATCTCGCAACACCTCAAGGAATAATGTACGTTATCGATCTTCAATATACGAAATCTCCAAGTAGGTGAACAGATCAAGAGAAACGTGTCCCCTTGCGAAGCAAAATAAAGCATTTTGTTTAGTATTAGTTAGTGCAAATGTTTGAGTAGTAATTACTGCATACTTCTTGACTTCGAATTTAGCCTTTTAAGGAAAAGCAGTATACTCAAAGTCATTACTATATTTCTTTCTAATGAGTTTCGATAAACGAAATTGTTAACCTATGTTTCTCTGTAAATTATCAAAGCATAATCTAACTTTGTTAAATTCATGGACACTGTTCTGCTGGCTATATTTCAACCAGCACTCAAGGCTAAAAAGCATGACATTGGTTATCAAACAGTCAAAATAATTATCATTATTATTTATCAAATGTATCTGAAAAATATGATACGTGAAAATGATTTGTTTGGAGAAAAGAATTTCACATGCACAATATGCTTAGTGTTATTTCTGCTACTATACCTCCACCATGGGTTTTAAAGTTCAGAAATTAATTATATGGTATGTATGCCTTCTTACATGTAGAATTTTTTAGCAATATTCTGTCTCACTTTTTTTTACTATGTCGCTAACTCTAGATCTGATGAGATTTTGATGCATACATACGATGGCAATGCAAATGCATATAATATCACAAAAGGTCTTTTCTTGCCTGTATGATATTCAAATTATTCAGCGAAATTTTTAAAAAAATTAGTACTCAAAAGAGATTTTCTTGTTTTTATTTGGGGTTTTAAACATGAAAGTATGAAAAAATTGTTTACAAGGTGTACGGTGTCTGATATGTCATCTAAGAGATGTTATCTAATAGTAGCCAGCTGCAAAGAAGTTCTTGAAATTGAATATAACATTTATCTGGATTTAGGAACTGAACGACCCTTCTGAGCGTCTGTTCAACTTTTTTGTGTTAAAAGAGCTCTGATCAAAAAAATGCAGATTTCAGACGATAGGTTATGAATTTGACACGATCCATCACATTGAAATGGTATCTGCCCGTTATAGGATAGTCTTCCGAATACATGTTGCCCGAGTTCCAGTTAAGTAATGCTAACAGTATATTTTTTAACTTTCAGAAATATCATTATCGTTGATTAAAGCAAAAGCATTAGAGAGCAGTGTCAATTGATGCAATGTATCTCAACAAAGAACTGAAGGCCGATTAGACAAAATTAGAAAAAAGATATAAAGCCATATTCATTTTTCTTAAAGATATTTGCTTTCCTGTGAAATCCACACTGCAAAGCACGACGAAGACCCCAAGTATTGACTTATAGCTTCTTCAAAATTGACATCATCCCTAGTCACTTGACAGCTGATTAATGAGCAATGAGCTGGCAAGATTCAATCACGCTTCAGATAAAATAGCCTATTCGCATCTACCAATGAAGCTTTTTCATGGTAATTTTGTGTCATGACAAGATATTCATGTGACAGTACTTGATGAGACAGTAGAGATTTAGAGGTAATTTTATCATTCATAGCGAATATTTAATTAGTTAAAAGTGTTTAAATTATGTGTAAATGTAGAATATCAAACATTTATCAAGAATTAACTAGATCGCTACATAAAACAGTGCTTTTATTCTAGGTTTTTTTTTCAGAACTGAGAATATAGACCGCTTAATGTGCACAAATTTCTTCAAATTATACTTTCTAGTCATAATTTGTTGACCACCCATATTCGTCTCCACTAATACACCGTAGTGTTCGTGAAGAAGGTTGGGAAATTTGAATTGGGGATTCCCATTACTCCAAAAAAAGAAGAAAAATGTATATAACAAGTAGTTAGGCAGTTTTTAGAATATTTCTGTCAAGCAGCTGCCACAAGTCAAAGCCACTTGAGTAACAATGTAATGCGATTTTACGACTAGTGGAAAGTATAAACTCACGAACCCACTTAAGGTAAAAATATTCCAATTCGTACCAACAACTGGGTGGTGCTTCAGAAGTGGACCATTCAGACAGACAGACCTAAACCAACGTAAGACCTAATACAAGTGCATTGGTGCAAGCTGCCACATATAACAGCAGTATAGAAGAACAAGAGGATAGAAAATGTGATACCAAAGTAGACAGAGTTGGGTCAGTAGATACATCTGTGTCGTTGTGACCAATTTCCAGCCATGTCACCAAATGTCCTCAACCGATGATTCTCTTTCTCTCGGGGACCATAAACAGGCAGTCTATATCTCCCCGAAATGGGTCGGACCAACAGTCAGGGACTTCATCGACTGATGCCACGTTCTGGTCTGGCTACCATGAATCCTCATCCAACCTAATCCAACTTCTGCTAGCATGGAATGTCAAGATAGGCAGTGACTCGGCAAGCGCAGTGCATGTCTAAGACATCTCAGATGATGAAGACCTTATCAATTGACTTGCCTGTGAGGGGCCTAGTACCCTTCGCCTGACCTCAAACTAGCTTATACGGTGATTGCACTACGCTGGAGCAATGCCAAGAAGACAACTGCGATCAAAACCCTGCAACTGCCTCATGTCTTCTAATTTTAATCATTATATCTTACAGACGCATAACAGGACAGGATAGAATAAAACAGGATGTAGCTCGGTATACTCGTTCCATAACAGATTTTCGCATATCCTGCCATTTGGCGACACAGATGGGGCTAGATGGGAAATCCGAAATGGGTTTTCTGTATCCGAGATGAGATTACGTCAGCAGCCAGCCCGTCCTGGCTGATACAACTTCTCAAGTAAATAAAGGAGTAGAAGCAATCAATCATTTAATTCCCCATCATCAAAATGAGAGTAGTTTTCTACCTGTTCTACGGCACCGTCTTAAATTCGACAAGTGCGAAAGATATCCCAAACGTACTCAGGTGTTTGCTCGAAGCATTCATAAGACCCTGCATTTTTTCAGCATCTTCACCTGACAAGACAATATCGTCTGCATAATCCAAGTCAAGCAGTCGCCTGTTCTCCAAGGAGTAGATCAATTCCTGTGAAGTCAGACCTACCTGAGTTTGTTTCTAATAATACATCTCTAACGAAGTTTAATGGGAACGATGGAAGTGGTCATCACTGGTAGACACTACTAGTTGTCGTCATTGCAGATGACAATTCTTTATAAGTGCTTACATGGCTGCGTGAGTTTGAGTCGACGGCTTTGACTGGAGTTATTTGTGTGGTCACTGCTGTTTTCACAACCAGACACTGCCACAACACCCCAAGGTCAGCAGAGTCAAGTGTCACCTTCAGGTCTAGAAATATGGTAAGTTTAGGCCACCGATAAGACTGCGTTCCAGGACTTGCTGGGGGGTGAAAATATGACCGATGCACCCTATTCAGGTTTGAAACCTGGCTGGTTTTCTCGAATTTGCTGTTCTATAGCTCCAGTTAGGCATAGGATACCTATGAACCCTAGGATCTTAGATACAATATTAGTCAGAATTATTCTCCTATGACTGTCACAAGAGGACTTCTCTCCCTTCTTATACACTGATGTACAGTGATCCAGGTCGGCCTGACGGCACTACTCCTGATTTCCATGCACTGCGCAGTACCTCCGTCACTTTCATTAGCGATTCCCTACCTTTATCCTCAGAAAAGTCGTTAAGCCGACTTCTTTACACTATTCATATTCAGTCTGGATGGTGGTGAACTGAAGCGCTGCTCTGGCCCATTTGAGCTACGCTTCAAAGTGTTCCGCCAAATGCTTGGGCCGTCTGTCCTAAGACGTTATCTGCGTCCGATCCCTTTGGGTGGTCGTTTCACTAACCATCATTTCCTTCTTGCCGGTATCCTTAATAAGCCAAAATAGTTACTAGGTGTTTCCTAACACTGAAGCCTCCCTCCATCTTTCGCCACCCAACACTGCTTGCGATCACTATGAAGAGACTTGGTCAATTTACGTCTAAGTTACCTTCGTTCTTCATTACGGTCACAATCAGCTGGGACGAGTTTTCTCGTAGCAATCAGTTTGAATGACGCTATCCAGTGACTTTTGCTAACCTTTAGATGAAGATTACCAACTGTCTTTCCCGCTGTTTCTCCAGCACACTTAATATCACTCCAGGTTTTTTCAGGATGAGCATTGCTGTCATGTTTAGGTGAATGCTTAGTTATCTCCTTTTCAAATACTTTCTCGTCTTTCAACCAAACACACACAAGCTTCACTACCATCCGTTTTCTACAACCATTAAGGCAGCGAAATACACATGCCTGTACTAACGACGCGTGGTCGTACACCAAGCAGGAACTCCAGAAAGAGCGGCAATCCTCTCTAACGAAAGCTCATGGCAACATGACCTGTATTTCCTATCGTTGGTTTGATGTCGGTAAACGCCAAGCGAAAGTATCTCTACTTATGCGATAAATAAAACAAATTTTCAGAACAAATCACTGAAGTTGTATGTCACTGCTCAACGTCACCGAATAGCGCGCGGTTTAGGGCCGAATTTCAAAAAATGATTAGGATTGTGCACTGATATAGCAAATTGATAAAGATATTAGTCCAGCAAAAGGAAAATAGTTCTATTGGTGGAGCAAAACAAACGTTATAAGGAGCGAACCTATTACATTCTTTAAGGAATTTGTACGCTGAAATGCGCCTTTAAATCAAACATCTACTGTTAGTGTTTGAAACCAATAGGATTAAAAGCTTAGACATTATTTCATAAATAAATTTCCAGACCATGATACCGTGACAAATAACAGTTGTATACTACTGCTACTTCACTGAACAGTCGCATAACACCGCCGTTCTGCAACAGAGAAAGGTGGTTCAGAGAATAATATGCTATATGACTACTCCTGACTGACACAGGATGCCTAGCATGTCAGCTGAAAATAACACAAGATACAGAAAATCCGATTAAACAGTCTCCAGAGTATGATGTCTATCACAAGCTGTATATCTATCTGGAACTCAAATTGTAGTGAAAAATTAGGCTATGAGACCAAAGACTAATTACATACGTCAGTTAATAGTAGTACAAGCAGCGAATAACCTACCATTCAGAAAAACTCAACCTTATGCACAATAGATCACTTTGCATCAACACATCCATTTAGCAACGAAATCCTACTCAATATCTTGCATAAACCGTAATATTAGTTTGATGAAAAGTTAGACTCAAGTTAACTTTATTTGTTTGGACTGGTAAAATCTGATCGAGTAGTGCTGCAAGGAGTACACATTCGGTATTCTAGAAGTGTTTACCGATGTAGAAGTGAATTATCCTCTTGGTTATTGCTATCTGAATAACTTGTGTCAAAAAACTGTATTCCAGTGCAATAGAGAATAAGTGACAGATAGACAACTCCCAAATCTTGTTTTGTTTAGTATAACAACTTGATCCAAGTCTTAAAGTATTTTATTCGTTGCATTATTTTAAGCCACCTTTTCTACATAAATTTGGAGAATGCTCCACCAGAATTCGGAGACTACAGACTTTGAAGGATTCAGTAGTTGACCAAAACGTTAATGACACTTGTTCAGAACTTCTAATTAGAACAAGCTGACGGTCAAATGTTGTTGACGCTACGTGTAAAAAGTGGATAAGCTATTAGTGGGGACCTAGTTAAGTAGTATAGCTTTATCTCTAAAACCTAGTCTAATATCATGCGCAACAAAGCCAAAGGATTTCAAGACTTACAAATATTGAAAAACCACTTTTCAAAAGTACTTTATTTGTAGCTCTTAATTGTGATCTTGAATTCAGAAACCTACGAAATAACAAATATGAATGGCAAGGAATTACATACTTTCGTCTCGATTTGCAACAGGACTCTAAGTTTCAAAGTAAAACGCCGAATGCAATAAGATAGTATGGTGGTTAATAACTGAAGGGAAATCATTGTATGGTGTGCCAGTATAATTTAGAAAGTTTTATGCTTCATGTTACCGCAATCACTTGAGAGAGATAGAGGTAAAATCAAGAAATAATACGAATCACTGGGCAGACAATTTCGGTAAGAGGATAAGTACGTAAGTCTTGTGAGTATGAAACACTACACCTGAGCTATTTGCATCAAAATGAACGCCCTACAAAAATGGATTGCATAAAATATCCAGTCACTATATGGTGATCAGTATCGTGATACTTTATCCTAAGGAGCGGACAAATTTGTAATACGATCATCCAAATATGTGACTTGAAATTGGTATATACTGTACATTACGTCAGATGGTTAGAGGTAAACGATATGAGTACATACTAATACAATTATCGAGGCCAAAGCGAAAAGAAATAGAATCACGCTAGATTAAGCTCAGTTAAGTAGAAGAAACATTCATGAGTAAACTCCGACGCCCACTATTCATTTATTGGTATAGAGTTAAGACTACACGAGTTAGGAATATGCTGAAAACCGCTCGAATAATCTCTCTATGCAAAAGTACGTGAAGTATCTTTGGTGCTATTTTGAAGTTACATAAACTTTGTCCACCGACGAGTTAATGCTGTCAACTAGAGGCTATGTTAATAAAACAAGATTTCCCAAACCAATCACGTCATTATTGACAATTATTCAGTACACCGGGTGACTATCAATTCAACCATATACATAATTGGCTAACCAGAAAATGAATTGTGTTCGTTAATAATTACTTACATCAAACGCATATACTTAGAATTATAAAGTTTACTGTCGTGGCATTCTGATTCGTCGGAAATTTGTTTAGAAATATCGCTTCCCTGTCATTTTCTCGTTTTATTCTTTGCCTACTCCCCTACCAACCCATTCCGAAAAAGTTAGCATTATTCTTTTCCCGTTTGTTTTTCACAGATCCCATTCTTGAATCTCAAGTCTCAGGCTTTGGTTTAAAAAGATTCACTTTTTCCCTTTAATAACCTTTAAACTAGGTAAGACTGAATGGCTTATTTGCTAAATATGTCATTTCCTACTCCACAAGTTGATGGTTGAAGACTTCAGAAAACATGGCTAACAGTCAACCAAGATTGTGCAGATATTTCTTCTCGCTGCACTATCTTTCAGTTCACCACACAAACACATTCATATTCTAACAATATCTTGTGTGCGACAATCGACGATACCAACAATTTGTCTCCAATACGGTGTTTGAATCAGCTTCTCAAGTCATGATTTAATGTAAGTAACTCAAAGGATTATGAGCAGCAGATCCCATTTTAGTATGAAGGCTTAAAACTCATGAAGGAAAATACACCTTTTCTTTCTCGAAATACAAATAACTGAATGAACAACCAAGCAAACCAACAAACAAAGAAACAAGTAAAAACATATTACACAATGTATCATGTCTACACACAAAAATATAAATAAGAGGCCTGTCAATATTTTCTGTTACATGTGCTTCTCGTATAAAAGAGGAGGAAGAGAATAAGCAAAAAGAATACGCATCAGAGAAAAAGAGAAAATCAAAAGCATGAAAATAGTGCACAATGTTCCTTCTGATTTGAACGAATACACAAGTAACAAGGAATGAGATTGCGACACGTACATTCATATTACATAAGCAAAGACATCAATAAACACAGAATTACACTTAAGAAAAATACACCGTGTTAAACCAGTGTCATTATTTCTGTGATTTAAAAATTGAAATGTTTTAGACGAAACAAAAAGGAAGAGGAAAAACATCGTTATATACTCTTTTCTTATTATATATGCATACAATATTTCTCCTATTGTTTGAATCCATTTCTACCTATTAACGATTTCACAGATTAAAATGATTGTGGTGAAATTTGATCTCAAGTAAAAATGTGATCGAAGTAAAAGATCACTCCTTAAACAGACACAGTTCAAACGACCAGTACTTATGATACTCACGATAGCATCGAGATTGAGATGATGATTACGATGAGAAGGTGGAAAGTGAAGAGGAGGAAGAGGATTTATCAGAGCCTCTGGACTTTATTGGATTAGGATGGAAAGGGGTGATGCAACTTCTGCTTCAGTAAGCCTCATTACATGGTGTGGAATTTGCTTTTCCCCTCTAGAATGCTCCCTTCCTGCTGGTTGAGATAACGAATGTGACGAATTATTCATCATATCATCATTAGATAATTCTATTTTTCGTTTACCTTCATTTCTACAAACAAGGTGTAAAAATGATTATGAATGAACAAAAATATCCCATTATTCAAGAGGGAAATAAACTTTAGTGCTATTGACTAAAGACATAAAAAGGGCGTTATTCAGAGAAAACTGACATGAAATAAAAAATGCTCTAGTGATGTACTGGTTATGATTACCAACTCAATTTCCAACTGTGCATCACATGACAAATCTACTAGACAACAGCCCTCTTAGTTCCACTTTTTAACGGCATTTGAACATGACTGCTAAAGGCAGGGATAACGAGGATCATCGATATTTTCAAAACACTGACCGTGTTAAACAAAACCAAAAATTGGGAAATACTAAGGTTAGGCGTAGATTAACAACTCGGTAACCTTTCGAATTTCGACTGATTTTAACTTAATCCTGTTGAAGAGAGTAATAACTTGAACCACTACACTTTTGTGCAATGTCCTGTCTTCTTTACTTTGCAGCAGGGTGGTGAATTCTTCTTCAGTGCTATATACTTTACTGAGTAATTATTTTCACTAACGAGTAACTCGAGCTTTAGAGTTACCTGTAACAATACGCCTGATCAAGTTTACTATTTGATCACTTTTCGTAAAGTTGCACTGAATAAGATGATTAGAAGTTCACTTAAGTGGCTTTAATCGAGTACAAAAAATTGAAACTGTTTTAGCAATAGGGAAAAATTAAAATAGTCAGAAAAAGGAAAATGAATACCTCGCCTCATCATATACTTGGAAGGTAATGTGAGAGACAAACGGACACAGCGGATACAAAATAAAATTGCAATGAAACCTATTGCAATAAAAACACTAGGAGTGAATGTTGTATAGCTGGATGTTAATCAGAAGAAACCTTGAATAATAGTTTTATATTTGTCTAAATTCACTATCTTCTGTGTGTATGCGCGGACTCGAAGATTAAACTTCTGCTAGAAAACAAACCAATTTTGTTATTTACTGCCACAATTTTAGACTACTTTTAAACAACTGATGTAATTCAGTGCCTATTTACTATTTTTATCGATGACAACTACTAGGAAATCGTGTTTGTCACCATGGAATAATCAATTTTGCAAGGTGTCGTTTAGTTTTCACGCTACTTGAAGTAAATCGTGCTCAGGTGTAAAAGTAGATTAAAATACATTACAATTCTGATTGTTTTCTATCACATTTTTAAGTAGTTGCTAAAAGTTAAATGCTGAAATGAAGCTCTAGAAATGCACTGGTTTTTACTAACTTATAACCACAAGTTACCGCCCTTAACATGGTTTCGATAACATACTGAACAAAATGCCAGGCTAAATCAGCATGAGCATCCCTGTTGTGCTGCTAAATATCCCTTGTTAGCTATATATGACCCCATCTTCGAATCGAATACTGGATGACTGTTCACATGAATGCTATAAGCAGTTAGCCAGACCAGGACATGCATATACTGGCCAGCGCATGATCAAATTACAAGGAAAATCTACGCTTATTGTGACCAACAGCAATCTGTTCAATGGAGATGAGTGCAAAGTTAGACAGTGTTTCTCCTTGTACTTCAAGTCCACAGTAGCCAAGAATGAGTCATGTTACAACAAAACTGTAGAATGTTAGCAAAATTGTCAACTCATCAACATAAGATAGCTACTATTATCTTCACTTGGTTCAACCTTTCTACTTTCACTGTGACTATATATATCTGGTCGTTTGACTCTCGATAACAACTTTCATAACTTTCGGCAATAAGTATAAGTAAAAACGTCCTCCACAGTTTACACAAGCTGTAACAAAGTCGTTCAGTAGGACAGTATGCAAGTAGTCGTCAGTGGTAATGAAGCAAAGAAGTTTGCTTTTTACGAGAAGACTAAGTGCCGTCTGTACACCTACAAGAAAGTAGAAACACTCAAAGAATGAATGGTACAGACTCATGAACTTGGGTGGTTGAGATCAAACGAAAATTCAAACTTAAATCTTGTGCGTCTCAAAACCACATGGCATAACCATGACCCAGGAAAACAGAAGTTTGGTAAGCATTATTGACTGTCCAATTTGACACAATGTTTATTTCGTGAGAGCTTTACTTTGTAGTCAGTAGTGTGGTTTCAGAAAACTTGAAATGTTACGAAAGATGGTTGAAGAAAGTATAGACATCATAACGAGAAAAGATAGTAACAACAAAATAAAACACAAAGATGCGATGATATTTGTGATGTTGGAGGCATACAAAGTAGTTGTACAAGCCAGACTGGAAGTTGAATTCATGAAACATCTAAAAGCGTAAGCTGACTGACCGCAGAGATATTTTGATTTCGGTAACTTTGTTCCTATTCAGTACAAACGTTCTTTGTGGTTCAGGGTGTATTCTCAAGAATTCGTGAAATATGTATCAATGATGCACTGGATGATGAAATACAACGCATACCCTTAGCCTTACATATCGAAAAGTTGATTGTACGCCAAAATAAAGACCAACTACACGCCAAGAAGTGAACTATGGTAGCAAAGAAATTAATCTTCATCAACCTACCATTTAAAGGTGACCAGAGTTTGTAGTTGACAACACACCGGTTTCCAGTGTCAACAATTAAACAGTAAAATTCAGTTAACTCTACCTCAAATTGTATGTACATGTTCATTTGCAATTGTGGAACCATATATAAATAGAACCCAATAGACTGATGCAATACCACCGAAAAAAACATGTTCTTCAGTGGCTATCAAATCATACAATTACACTAAGTGCACTTAACATGAATAGAAATCCAGCATCCTCTATAACCAGGCATTTGTTGATGACTGTTGACAAAATCAATACTAATGACCGTTCATCAAATGTTTCAGATAACTCCAATCCAAAGTTATAGAATGCGATAAAAGTACTTTGGATTAAGCATACACCCCAAATTACGTGACCTTTTGTTTACTCTGGACTACTTGATCTAGTATAATACCTGGATACTAATATTCTCCTAAAATTCATATAACTACAAGTACTGAAGAGTAATTTACTCTTGTAAACCATGTTAGCTGTCATGCCTTATTAAATATATCACAAAATTAAATATGCAAAACTTTCCGAAAGGTGAAACAGTTTAACTGAGATTACAACGCCGAACTCAATATTTTGGTCGAATCAGATGGCAGTAAAGATACTTGAATTCATCAGGAATTCAAACAAAACTTATTCAAATGACTATGCTGAATAATTTGTAAATGTAAATGTAAAGCCTGACGAAAATTAACCGAAAATACGTATTCGCCTCAAACTCTGTCTTCTAAAACTTATTCAACTTCAATGTTAGCTAAACTCTTGGGAAAAGTTAACACCAGATAAATGCTTATGCGCTTCTTTTCAAACCAAATAGGGTTAAAACTTTCTCCAAAATAACATTTCTTTGTGCCTAAACTTGGTTGATATCATCAAGCTAACACCCTGGGATTCTATGTGATTTTGGCTGAATATTCCTTCTCCTTTAATAAATATATATTGTTTCATTTGAAGTTGAAAATGATTTTGAGTAGCGTTGAGCTGTAATATTCGCATTTAAATCGCCAAAATAAACAACTTTGTATCATCATCTTTTTGAAGCCCAACTCTGCTGCATCATCTCACATGTATCTTTTCCACAAGCACAACACCGTCCAGTAACGCGACTGAAAAATTATCTGTCTACTTACTTTTGTTCAGAAACGACCCACACTGAAATCAGAGGAAAGGAAATACATAAGGTTGGTAAATACAAGCCACAAAATTTTACAGGTCGGAAAATTCTCAAATGCATTTTAGGCAAGACAACAACCAAACAAATGCAGAATGGCATTTTTAAAAATATCCTAGTATAAGAAATGCATCACCATTCTATAAGTGACATCTTCCAGAATATGAGAACGAAGGAAATTATTAGTTTATGCTAAGAAGGAAACAAACCGATGTGAACCAACTGCGAAATCCTATCACGGTGTCATTTTCAAGAAAAAATGTTCCAAATAAAAATTGTGGTTTGGCTGACACTAAGAATGGTGTTAAAAATGTGAGTGGAGAGAAAATTCGAATTTAAAATCAAACGCGCTTCATATAAGTAAACTGTTAGACTTATTGTGTAACAGATGAAGACACTGGTATATGCCAAACGGATTGGAACATATAACCTAACGGTTTCAGTTGAACTGCTCATAGCACAATCCCATAATTCGAAAACAATATGATTTGTAGGTTAAAATCAAAATAATTACAACAGAAGACGATGACAACAACAGTAAAAACACTGAATATTCCACAACAACAATTACTACATCTACTTCTAACTTGGAAGAAATTCAATTAATTTTAATGTCCGTAAATCAGCACACATAAATCAATGTTCCAGCTGTGACTGATACAACAGAGTGGACAATTAATAGCACAATAATACAGAAGATAAACAATACAAAAACAAATGGTAGACTAAAACACAAATAAATTTCTTAATAGAAAGCCATTATATCACAATGAATTAAAAGGAAATAGAGCTAATGCATTTGCATTAAACACTGATCATCCTTACTCTAAATAAATATATACTGCCTGAATCATCATTAATAATACACAAAAAACATAAATGAATAAGGCCTTTTTTTAGCCATTAATCTTATAGAGAAGCATTACAAGTAAAAGAAAGAAATAGTACACTATATATCAATGTTTTTAACCGTAAACATCATGAATATTAGGTAAATACAGTAAAAATAAAAATTAGCTTATAAAATGTTCTGTTCAGTGACATGACTAGTTAAGCCACTATAGATCGTTTTCTGTAGCTATCTAGATACCCGAAGGATATGTGTGAGTATGCAATAAATATGCCTTTAACATTTACAGGAAGAGTATGAATTCATTCGCATTATATATATATATATATATATATATATATATATATATATATATATATATATATATATATATATATATATATATATATTATACATAACGCTGCAACGCTACGCATCATCTTAGAACAAAGCATAGAATGGCAGTCAACTCTCTACCTCAACTTTATCGATTTTGAGAAGGCCTTCGACAGCGTCAACCGAGAAGTAATTTGGCAGGCAACTGCTTCAACAATAGGGTTTTACTGCCACAAACCTTTATCAACCACATTCAACAGCTATATGATGATGCTACATGCCGAGTGATTCACAGTGGGAGGCTCAGTGATGCCCTTGAAGTGAAGACAGGAGTAAGACAAGGTTGCCGTATAATATCACCTATGATCTTCCTGATTTTGGTCGACTTGACTGCATCATGATACAAACTGTGAGAGGTGAGAATATGGGCATACGCTGGACCGATGAAAAGACCCCAGAAGATTTGGATAGTCTCAACTACAGGCAGCAAAGATGAGAATGTGGAGGCCAGGATTGGAAAGACACCAAGACAGCCCTTCATTAACCTGAAATAATCAGTGTGAAGATCTACTGCACTCAACATAAAGCGTGAAAAAGACCCGGATTTTCAACACTAATTGAGTCAAGTAAGTCAGTGCTTCTTTGTGATGGTTGAGAGACTTGGCGCGTCACGAAAAGCATTTCTAACAAGCTGCAGACATACATTAATATCTGCTGCCTACGCTTACTCGATACTGAAGATCAGATGGCCAGAACAATAAGAATGAGCAACAAGGGACTCTGGCTGGCAGGCGATGAATCAATCAAGAACCCAACGCCCAACAAATATGCAGAAGAAGGCGGAGATGGATTGAATTGGGCACACACTAAGAAGACCGTTTGGGGATATCCTGAGCTAGGCCAGGCCTTCGAGCGGAACCTGCATGGGAAACGACTAGTTGGGCGTCCGAGCCGAGGGTGACATGGAGGAGATTGTGTGAGGAAGAAATGAAAGCTTACGGGCAGTCGTAGAGCCAGGTTAAGAAAACTGTAGAGAAGAGAGTGAAATAGCGACGTACTACCGAAGCCCTATGCTCCACCTGGAACCCGAGGGACGAATCATAAAAATAAAATATAAAACAAAGCCATCATCAATTTATATGTTGTGGAGCTGCGTCTCAGTGGTCTATGCATTTGACTTCCAACTAGTGGGTCACGAGTTCAAAGTTCAAGAAAGTGCCACCAGCCACCAAATAATAAGTATGGCTTATTACCTAATGCATGGAAATACACATGGTTGTTATCATATATACAAATAAATTCTCTGCCACAAATAGGTGGATGGAATGGTGGTCGCTGGTTCAAATCCGGCCGAGGTCCAAATTTTCATTTCACCTTCAATCATCACCCAGTATAAATGGAGTGAGTTTCAAAACCATGACATTCAAGTTATAAATCGAACATCTTAATCA